CTCTGAGAACATTTTTGTTTCCTAGAAACTGATCACATATTCCAAATTTCATGATATTTATATTTTGTTTTATAAGCAGCATAAAGTCTAAATGTTTTCAGTAACCATGACTGAAGTTTAGGTATTTCCTATAAAACTTTATTAACAAATTATCAAATACAAGGTATTGAAACCACACATTTAATGCTACAAAGCCATATATTTCAAATGTATAGATGTGGGGCCTTGGGAGGCATCTCACATGGCTGCCATGCACCAAAGTTAGGCCTTCCCACACCAAGTCAGAACCTTATCAGGTTTCACATAACAATTCCAGGTGACCTTTCCATTGTACTCACAGTCCTCTGTGGTAAATGAAGACTTACTAAAGTTTGAGAATGTCTGATGTAGGCTCTCATTACTAGTGATCTAAGTAGTAGGTAAGATATTGTCCTTTATTATAGTACTTTCTTCCCCCAAGCTTCTCCCCATGAAGAAACAAGTACCAAACTCAACATAGTTGACTTTGGGTTCAACTTTTGCAACATGACCCTTCTGTACGTTCTGAACTGTCTATAGTAGTGTTTTTTATAGGAAGATTAAATAAAGGTATGTTATTCTGCCAAACATTTTATGTTTTCTCATACAAGAAACAAACTGATTGACTTGATTATGAACATCACTGACCAACTGGAATCTCTGAGTAGATCTGGAAAGATAAAAGTAAATCTACTGCTTACAATGACAGTGTAGTGCTTTGTCGATGGTCAGTGTTTTGTGTTGAATTTCAAGTTCCCTGAGTTGTAATGAGGCAAATTCCACCTAAGAGAAAAGTGTACTTTGTAAGTTTCTCTTGTACTGATGAAAACTGCCACTGAGGCTCTTTGTCCACTTGTGCTTTCATTCCTTACAGTGTGACACTCAGCCTCTTGGTGACAACAGAACTCAAACCTGCTATACCTGTGCATAAGGTAGAGGAACTATTCCTATCCATCAATCTTAGGTGAACTGAGGCTATACTTCAAATAAAATGCTTTTAGAGCTCTTATGTCAAGAGATCAGACTCTTAGCTATGAGTAGCTTGTCTGTATCACACTCAGCGACAGCCCCGTTATACAGGAGAGCTAAGGGTGAATAGCTGTCCATCAGGGCCTGCTGTAACAGGAAAGAAGCTGGTCATCCTCACTTAAAAGGAAAAGCCTTCACCCCAGAGGTGAAGAGGTTATCTCATGTCCAGGGTCAAACAGTCTGGACTCCCAAAAACTCAAGGCTAAAGGAAATGTGCAAATGGATGCTTTTCCTGAACTTTGTAGCTCTTATATTTGAAGGAGAAATAATAGTATATGGAAGTCTAATTTGTCACAAAAATAGAAAATAATTATCCCAGTAGGAAAACACTGTCTTCCATCTGTATAAGGTCTGAAATGAAACCTTTTCAAATCAGGAAGAGTCTTCCCTTGTGAACCTACAGCTAATAAATACAGATAAAAGCATCAGGTGTTACTTTTACAGCCCATATCATCATATCATGCAAGTGCATCAGGCATTTCCTCAAGATGAGAGTTCAAAATGGAAATATAGGTTGGAGGAAGGGGAAGACTCAGAGGACACAGATAATGTAATGAGTAAGAAAAAAGGAAAAAATGACTTTAATCTCAGAAAGTTAAAAAAAAAAGCATCCCTAAAACAAAGAAAAGAATGCTATGAAAAAGGAAAGAGAACAAGAAAATGTTCTCGAAATTGAAAGTTTGACAGCCATAATAAAAATTCTGTAGAAGGTTAGAAAAGAAAGTTGAATAATACAAATAGAAAAAGAGAAGAGATATAGAAAAAAAATATGACTTAAAGGATAAACCAAACCAAAAGGTCCAATATCCCACTAATAGAAGTTCTAGAAAGGAAAGGCAGAGAAAGCAGGGCAAGAAATTATCAGAGAAATAGTGAAAGAAAAATTTCCAGAAATGAATTTGATGCATCCAGGCAAGTAAATGAGCCCCTTGGATGTCCACAAACAGATTTATAGAATACCATATCCCTATGGAACTTCAGAACACCAAAGGCTCCTGGGTTTGGGGAGACAGGAGTATGGATAGGGATGGGGTAGGGTTGAGAAAAGTAGTTGCATACCAAAAAAAAAAATTAGAATTGGAATCATTAATCTTAGATGTTAGAAGATAGTAAATTTGGAAGGTTTGCCATTTTTAGCTTAAAATTCTATATACAGCTAAACTGTAAATAAGAATAGAGAAAAATTTGATATATAAATATTTATAAAATCTAATTTCCATGTACCTTTTTATTACTTACTGGAAAGTGTGCTTCAGTAAAGTAAGGGAATAAACCAAGAACATCATAGATAGAATCCACAAAACAGAGAATTGAGTCCAGAGAAGTCACAAAAGGAAGTCCAAGGGTGATGGCTATTCAGCAGGAGAGCAACCAATCTAAGACTAGATCAGAAGAACGAACGGCTCTGCAAGAAGAGGGATGGAGTGAGTGAATTATATGGTGTGTTTGGATGCATAGGAATAAAATATGATAGAAATGGGAATTTGAAGAAAGTAGGGAATTTTCATTGCCTAACCAAAGAAAAGAGGCAATAAATAATTTTAAGAAAGACAAAAGAGTGTACAAAAAAGAAATGCTATGACCATTGGAAGGAAGGAAGGGAAAGGGAGAAAAGAAGGGAGGACAGGCAAATCACCTGGGAGTCCATCAATCAGAGGTAATCATTGTTATTTTATTGTTCTTTTTTTTCGTATATATCTGTACCACACATTTGTCTGGTTTTACATTGGGATCTTGCAGTATTATTTTGTAACCTGCTTTTTAAAGTTACCATTATTCTTAAAAATGTATTTGACATTCTATATTCTTCAGCATAATTTTAATAGATTATATGTTGAAGTTATTAAGAGTGGATAAACCATAATTTATTAACCAAATCTCTGGTGCTTTAATTTGTTTGTGATTATACCTTATATTAGTAGTAAAACAAAGATGGATCTGCTTTTGGAACTAAGACTTAGAGACTTGTATTCCACATTCTTGTGTATAGCTATGACTAAATATCCTGTCTCACTTTTAAGGAATAATTACTCCTACTATTTATTTATTTATTTGTTTATTTATTTATTTAGCAGTACTGGTGTTTGAACTCAGGGCCTCACACTTGCTGGCATGCACTGTAACCTTTGAGCCATGCCCCAGCCATTTTTGCGTTAGTTATTTTTCAGATAGGGTCTAGTGAGGGTTTTTGTTGTTTGCTTTATTTTTGTCTTAGTATACATTAATAGTACAAGGGAGTTTCACTGTGATGATTCCATAGATGCATACAGTGTATATTGAACAAGTTCACCCCCTCTATTATGTTCCCTCCACCTTCCCCCCATTCCCAAACAGTGTTCAGTAGGTTTCATCATAGTATCGTAAAACATGTATATGTAACATACTTCGATCCTCTTTACTCCCACCTTCACCCAAGTACCCTCTCCTTTCCCCCTCCCTGTTTCTGCTGATTCCCAACACCCACGACAGTCACCCTTTTATACTCACATAGCAGTTTTTGCCCAGGGTCAGTCTCAGACCATGATCCTCCTACCAGTGCCTCCTGGGATTACAGGTACCCATCACATCCAGCTTGTTCTTTGAGATAGGATCTCACCAACTTTTTGCTCATTGTCCTCTCTCTGCCTCCCAAGTATCTGGGATTACAGGTAGGCCTGAGCCACCACTCATGGCCTCCTAGTATGCTTTTCCTTAAGTCATTAAGACACGGACACCAAAAAACAAAGGGAACCACAGACAAGCACCTCTGTGACAGGAAATAATAGACTAGCCCCTCTCCTGCCCCATCTCCTACCTTTCCCACTCCCACTTCGTCCTTGGCAACACAGGCTTTTCCTACATTCCTACAGGCATAGCAAGTGTCTCAGCCTTTTGCTGTCATCTGGAATGCTTCTTCCCCAAGTGTCAGTATGGCCCACTTCCTCATTTCACTTAGGTCTCAGTTCATGCATCCCCTTTTCAGAGTGGCACTTTATACAAAATAGGACACCACTGTAGTTCTGCACGGTCTGTCTCCCAGTTTATTTTCTTTTTTGCCATAGCCCTTTCTCACCATGGATTATATATTGGTTTGTCTGTATTCACCCATCCCCAACACTAAAAATATAAATTCAATAACAGCAGGTAGCTTATGTGTTTTGTTCATTGCTCCATCTCCAGAGCCTAGAGCACTTTCTGGCATAATAATAGGTGCTCAATAATCTTGGAATGAATAAACAAATAGATGAGTTAAATTACCTTGACTTAGCAGTAAGAAGGACCAAAGAAGGCAGCAAAGGGAATTTCTAGGTTGCCAGTATTCTAGATTAGAGCAGCAGGTCTAAAGGTACTGGAAAAATCTCCAAGACAAAATGACTCAAAAAGATATCTGATTGGGTGGAGGGTTAGGGAAAAAAGAACTACAGCTAAGACAAATACTGGAAGAGGAGACATATAAGGACGGAAATGTGGTATACTACTTGGCTCAGCAGTGAACAATATTTAAAAATGAAAGTGTAAATATACTATTTAAGTAGTAATAGAGAAACTAAACATAAGATAAATTGTTGAGAAGATGACAAGACGGTATGTAAGGGCTGTAAAAGTGAACTAAGTCCTCAGCTTCATAGCAGATGGGCAAGGGTGATAGCAAGACGTTCACAAATGTTTAGAGGTAACTGGTAGAGGAACAGCTACAGGGGTTGAGAGGTCTCTTCAGGCAGTTGGACCACTAAACTTTGCTACTGAGGATCCATGTGAGGTTGAGAGAAGGTTTGTGTTGTTTTTTAGGACACGCTCTTGTTTCTAGACACTATGCATGTTAGCTGGTGTACCTGCCTCTATTGGCCTCACCTGTATCTCAGATAGCACTTGACAGATAGAAAAGAGAGGTACATGGATTTACTAAAATTAATTTGAAGTTTGTGTTTGTTCTGTATATTCTAAGTGTTTGACTTTTTCTTTTTTAAATGTAGCTAATGCTGCCTACCTTGGGGGCCAAGAAATGATGCAAGTGGTGAAGAGAGATGATGAAGTCATAAAGGAACATTTATCTAAGGTAATCACTTTAGTAGTGCAAGCAGATAAGTAGATGGGCAGAAATATTTACTAAGGACAAGGGCTAGATTTGGTTAGAATCTGAACCACCTCAAAGGTTTGTAGACTGAGACAGAGTTTTACTTCTAGTTCAAATTAATGTCATCCTTGAAAGTTACTTAGAGTAAAGAAAGCTGATTGCATTACATAGTTACTTAAATGTGTATTGAACTTATTTTCAGAATCAGTGCTTTTCTATTTTGACAATGCATTGTACTGAGAAGACTCAATAATATTTACAGAATAAACGAGTCATGTTGAAACATAAGTAAGACAATGGAAAAGAAGTAACATTATGTATGACCTGATGACCAGTAAGCTTGTGTTTCTTTTTCTTTAACTCATTGAAGTAAGACTGTCTCACTCTGACACTCACAAAAAAATAGTTTTTTGAAATATTCAGCATATGTGTTGCACCTGCAAATGCTACACTCTTGCACAAACACATTTGGGAACACCAATCTCTGAAACTATTAAGCCAGCATGGTTTAGAATATGTCTAAACACCCTAGAATTTAGGTGGCTGCGATACTTCATTGGCATCATTTGTCTTATTTGCCCATACTGAATAAGATAGAGCTATACTATTTTTTTTTGTCTTGTCTTGTTTGCAGTGTTGAGGATTAAACCCAGGGCTTTGCACATTCGAAGTAAGTGATCTGCCACTGAGCGACAGCCCCAAGCCCGAGCTGTACTGTTTAATACCATACCCGTTCATCACCTGTGGTTATTTGTGGCTGGTGAATTGAGATGTGCTATACATGTAAAATGCACATTGAATTTCAAAAATTTAGTACCTAGGACTAGAGGATGTAACTCAGTGGCAGAGTACTTACCTAGCATATGAAAGTCCCTGGGTTCACTCCCCAGTATGACAAAAGAAGAAAAACTTAGTATCTAAATGGAAAATATTTCAGTAATAGCTTTATGTCAATTACCTATTGAAGTGATAATATCTTAGTTAGATTGGGTTAAATAAAATTTGTTACTAAAAGTAATTTTACCCATTCTTTTGTACCTTTTTAACATAATTACTAGAAATTTTAAAAATTATATCTGCTGCTACTAACACTAATGTAGAGCTTAACAATTGTTACTAAACAATGGTATTTGCTGGGTGCGATAAAATAATCTCTTCTGTCTACTTGTATAGGGCTCAGGAGCCTACAATATGCAAATAAAATCTTAGATACTCTACTGGGTTTAGAATCTCTTCATAAACTTTTGAGACATTTGACTTAAACTTGTCTTCAGTGCTAATTCATATTTCTATACCCTTTCAATGTAATTTTATTGAAGCAAGAAATATACTTATTTCAAAATATTGAAAACATTCACCCAGAGAAGATTTTGGAAAATACCAATCTCTGCCTTATGGTCGTAGTTCATTGTAATTCTTTAACAGCAGTTGTCCAGAGGTAGACATTTAGAATAAGAAAGAAGCCCTCCCAACCGAATGGAGAAGGCTGGAGCCTTGAAAGAACCTTCCCTCCAGGGTTCTCAACTACTTCTGACCATTGAAGGATGTGAAAATACAAAAAATAAAATAAAATAAAATAAACTATAAGTGAGTCTGTTTCAAAAGTGCATTTAAGTTTTCCAAGGTTGGGAGTTCATAGAAACAATTCGACTCCCAGTTAATAATAAGATTGGCAGATGCTCACTTCCAAAATTCACACTTGCTGAATGGCTAGACCCATCATGTATTGAGCCCATCTTACCACCTGGGGAAGCCAGCTGCTATAAAATACTCATCATTCCTGGGTCCTGTTTGTATGTTGTGCTCAGAAAGAGGTCAAAAAAAGGTGCTAACTTATTCCTGTGCTAAGTTAAATCCATATGCAAGTGTAATCATTCCCAGATAGAGGTTTGCTTATGCTAACTGTGTCAGAGCTATAAGTTTACTGAAACTTCCATGGGAAAAATATGGGGATATAATGGTAGATGGCTGACATTTCAAGGTAAGTATTAAAACACAGTCACAGGAATAAACTTTCCCAACTCCAAGGAAAAGTTTTGTTTCAAAGACATTTAATATACTTCTAGAATTTGGGGAAACGAGGCATTGTTTAGTTTGATGGTAGACAACTGTCATTGGCTATGTTTTCTACCAGCTGAACTTGAGCCCTCCACTCAAATAATACAATTTCAATTCCTAAATGAAACTAGGTATTGAGAGACAGGAAGTTTATTGTAATTTTTTGTTTTTCTAATGAAAAAGAGGAAGCATGCTGTAATTTAATATTGATAAAAGTTGAATCAACATAATATGCCCTCTCTGCTTGAGAAAATAAGGAAAAGTTAACAGAGCACATAGTTCTAAGAAAAGAGTGAACACTGACTCCTGCCTTCCAGATTTAAAAAACAAACTTGAAAATAGTCAAAATTGAAAAACAATTCCTGAGATTAAAAATATCCCTATTTTAGATATTTTGGTCAAGAATGTTCTTTCCCTTTTCTATCCAAACAAAGGCATTCAGAAATGTCATACCTGTTCAGGGAAGTCTAGTATGAACAGTTTTCGAGCCACACATTGTTGCAAAAATTACTCCATATATCTCAGTTATTCAGCAAAGATATTCTGAAAAATATCTTTGTGCCATCTAACCAGGAAACCACAGGAAAGCTAGTCTAAAAGTAGCCTCTCTACTATATCATGCAGAAGACTATCTGATTCTTTCTCCTACCCTAGAAATCTCTTATACCATAATCCACAGACTTTACTTCTAAATTCAGATTTTCTACCACTGATTTCCATTGCCGACTTGAAGAGAACGTTTAATATTCTTGGGGGGAAATTGACCTCTTTTTATGTTGTTTTTATTTTTTTTATTTTTATTTTTTATTGTGGTGGTTGGGGGTACATTGTGGCATTTACAAAAGTTCCTACAGTATATCAAATATATCATACTTGACTTTATCCCCTCCATCATTTTCCTTTATTCCCCCTCCCCCCATTTCAGGAATAGTTTCAACATGTATCATTTTTCCACTTACATACATGTGTACACAGTATTTGCACTATATTCACCCTCCTTCACCCTTTCCCCACTTCTTCCTTACTCCCACTGGTACCTACCCCTCCCTACCCACTAGACAGGGCAATGTAACCCGGAGATATGGATACAAATTTCTTAACTAAAGATGTTCTCACAATTTGGCAATGAGTGTAGTGCTAGCATCCAACACAGGGCCTTATATATGCTAGACAAGTGCTCTACCACTGAGTTATATCTTCAGGCTGAAAATTGGCCCTTTTAACTCTGAAAAAATCTACTGGGCTGATTGTCTTCCTTCCAAGGTCTCAAGATTTTATAGCCAATTATGGACAGTTGTGCTTATTTGTAGTGCTTCAGTGACAGATAGTTGTTTCTTTTCCTGGCATAAACATATCAGACTTATAGTTGTTTCCAAAAGAGTAAGCCATGGTTTATGGCATCATAGGTTATGTTATTTTCTCACCTGACTAAATTCTGTTTGTTCTTTAAAAGTTGGTTCCAGAGTCATCTCTAGGAGGTCTTCTCTAGCCCCTTGTTTTGGTAAGCTGTCCCTTCTTTTGACTTTCATGGCTTCCTATGTAAAGTTATAATATTACATTTGTCACACCATATAGAAATGATCAGCCTTCCCCTCTCCCCCAGCCTTCAAGTAAGGAGTTTTTATTCCATCTTGAGCTCCCCCAGGATCCAGCACAATTCATAATACCTAGTAAACAATTGGTAAATATGGTCTGGGTAGATAGGTGAAGAAACAGATCAATGGGAAGCCTTTCGAGTACAGATTCTATTGAAACATAGCTATCAAAGTATTTTAAAGTAATGTGTAACATAGTAATATGTGCATCTTTACTAACATATTGGGTAACAAGATATAATAGCAGAATTACTGAGTATAATTGAATGTTTTGGTTATCTTTAGTAGGTTTACTATGATTTGAAAATATCCATAGTTTTTATAGGTGACAAAATACACACATACACACACACACACACACACACACACACACACACATATATATATCACTAATATTATGGTTTATTGCCTATATTCATAACTAAAGGAAATATTAAATTATAATTAGAACTAATAAGAATAAAGGTGTAATTTTTCTCAGGTTTAGATACCTCTGTTCCCAGCCCATGAACTTTCATTGGCTAGTAGACTCCACGTAAAGAAGCTGTACATTAGAGAAACTAGAAAAGGTTCGATAGTGTGGTATGGTAGCTTGAGCCTTCGCCTGAGAACAAAACAAGCATGATATGCTGCACTAAAGGTATTAAGCTGTTGGGGAGCCACTGAAAGGCCTTAGCCGGGGGATAACAACCTAGGTGATCTTCAAATATTTGGCAACCACATGATATAACCACTGACCAATCAGAGCATATACCAGCTACAAACAACCAAGTTATCCCTAAAACTGTGGTGAGATTAACAAATGAGTGGGATTATTCTGAAGGAAATGTGTGGCCAAACATTGTGAAAAAATGAAATTTCAGGTGGGAAGACTATAAGGCTTTTATAAGAATGAAGGCAGTGGAATTGAAGATGAAAAGATCTAGAAAGTTGAACCAAAGGTACTTTATGCACACAGGATATTAGCAAGTAGAGATGGAGGAATCTAAGATCATTTCTTTGAATCTGGATTTAGTAATAGGGAAGGAATACAGGAGAAGCAACCTGAGGTTGTGAGATGTGGTTGAAAAAGTAGTCCATTTTGGCACTTGCGATTGAGGTACCTACCTATGGAGCATCCAAGCGGATACATGTCTGGCAGATGGCTGGATATATGGTATAAAGCTCAAAAGAAGAGTCAGTTTTTATTTTGGCATCATAGGTCTGTAGTTGAAGACATGAGCATAGAGAGTGACAACCTACAGAAGTATGAAGTATAAGAAGAGAAGACATTTAAAGATTGATTCTTTGGGAGCCCAACTTAAGGGCTGGAATGGGGATAAAGAGGAG